GTGAGTGTGTGTGTGTGCGCCCACATGTGTGAATGTGGTGTGTGTGTGTGTGTTAGTGTGTGTGAGTGTGTGCATGTGTGTATGTGTTAATGTGTGTGAGTGTGTGTATGTATGTGTGAGTGTGTTTGTGTATGATTGTGAGTGTGTGTGTGAGAGTGTGTGGGGGGTGTGTGTGAGTATGTGTATGTATGTGTGTGATTGTGTGAGAGAGTGTGTGTGAGTTGTCTGTATGAGTGTGAGTGTGAGTGTGTGTGTAAGTGTGAATGTGTGTGAGAATGGGTATATGGGTGTGTGTGTGTGCCCGTATGTGTGTATGTATGTGAGTGTGTGTGTGTGTGTATGTGTGTGTGTGTGTCTGCCTGCCTTGGTGTGAGAACAAACTGGTACAAGGCGATGTAGTGTCAGGGGTTATAAATACAGACTCCAGTCAGACTGGCTGAGTCACATCCGCCAGCGCCACCTCGCTGAGCCTTTCTCCCCTCCTCTCATTGGCGACAGCTTTGGGCTTATTGGAGAACTGAGAGAGGTACCAGCACCAGTGAGACCCAGCTGTGGCTGCTCCTTCCTTGGGCAAGAGCAGCTCCTGCTGGCCTGTGGGGGAAAACAGAGCCTCGGTCTTGATGTCTGGGGAGCTACGATTCGCACCTCCACGGGCAATATCCCCCTGTGTGTCCGGCCCGGGGGAGGTGGGCGCAGGTGTCGCTGGCCAGCAGCTGGATCCCAGGGCGCTATCCCCTCACCAGGGCCGGCTTCCCGGGCTGCCAGTCCCACAGGCCCGTGCTCGTAAGGGCATCGCACCTCCTTGCCTGCTGTGTCCCAGCCACCTTGAAATGCAGCATAACCTAGGGCCCCGCTTTTTATTCTGCACTGACACCCACAAATGACTGCTGGTGGCTACTTGCCCTCCCGTCACCCAGGTTCCGCTGGGAGAGTCGCACCTGGGCCTGCTACTTGAACAATCACCATCGGGGTGGCTGGGCGAGGGGCCCTGCTTGGGGCGTGGGTGAGAGCTGGGCTTTAACCCAGGCGTGACCCAGAGGCGGTGCCTTCTGTCACTCATCTCCCAGAAGGGCTGCCTTTTTCTAATTCGGCATAAAGACGCTTCCTTTGCTGGCGGGAGCCCTGCTCATGTCCACGGCCACCCATAATAAGAGAAATGCACATTAAAACTCCACTGAAATGTCATTTGTATGTATCAGAATAGATAAAAACCCAAAAGCATGACAGCCTGCCCTGTTGACAAGGCTGTGGGGGGGAGGGGAGGAGAGGACAGGCGCTGTGGGAGGGCCAATCAGCATATCCATCAACATTATGAATGTGTATATCCTTTGGTTCGGCGATCCTTCTTCCAGAAATTTGCTCTATGAAGGCACACAGGCACATGCAGAGCAATTCCTGGGGAATTTTTTTATTGCCACATTATTCTGAATTGGATTGGAAATAACCCAAGTATCTGTGTAGAGCAGACTAATGAAATAAGCAATGACGACCTCAAATGGAATACTTCTGTTTAGGGAGGGAGGCTTTCTCTGTGGCAGATAGGAAATCGCCATGAGGGCAGCCAGGGAAAGGAATGGGGTGAAGGGCAGCGTCGGGAGTGGGGTGCTGCAGTTATGGAGGAAAGGGTGGAAGTGTGAACACATATGTGTTGCTATTGCCATACACCTTGAAGGACACACAAGAAGTTCATTAGAATGGCTGCCTATGGAGAGAAAGCAGGGCAAGCATGGGAATGGGGTGGGCACAGATGTGTGAGAGGAAGACTCCTCGATGTGAAATTTGTAGCCCCATGCTTGCATTTCCTATTCAAAAGAAAGTGAGCATCAGCAAACACATTCCCCTCCTCAGACAGCCACCAAATGTTAGACCATATAGTCTCATCCAGGAATTGTCCAACTGCGGCGTCTTTCTTTTTTTTTTCCCAATAAGGTCTGTAGATGAGTTAATAGTGTCCGCTTGCTGGTTCCTATCATTGTACCATGGCTACATGGGGGTGTTAACATTCAGGGAAGCTGGAATTCCCAGGGAATATAAGCATGTCCCACTTCAACTTTCCTGTAAGTGTAAGTGTGTTTCAAAATAAGGTGCTTTTTTTTAAGAGAGAGAAATAAGTAATTTTTCCTCATACGCAAAATAGGAAATCGTAGTAAAAAAAAAATTCAGCCATAATCCTGAGATGAAAAAGAACCATTGCCAAAAGGCTGAGTTTTTGTACTAGCCAGCTTGGCTCAGTGGATGAAGCGTCAGCCTGTGGACTGAAGGGTCCCAGGTTTGATTCCGGTCAAGGGCATGTACCTGGGTTGTGGGCTTGATCCCCAGTGGGGGTGTGCAGGAGGCAGCCGATCAATGATTCTCTCTCATCATTGATGTTTCTATCTCTCCTTCTCCCTTTCTCTCTGAAATCAATAAAGAAATATATTTTTTAAGAAAAGGTTGAGTCTTTTAAGTATAAGTTATTAAAAAAAAAAAAAACTTTCCGCCCTAACGGGTTTGGCTCAGTGGATAGAGCGTCGGCCTGCAGACTGGAAGGTTCCAGGTTCGATCCCAGCCAAGGGCATGTGCCTTGGTTGTGGGCATATCACCAGTAGGAGGTGTGCAGGAGGCAGCTGATCAATGTTCCTCTCTCATCAATGTTTCTGACTCTCTGTCCCTATCCTCTCCTCTCTGTGAAAAATCAATAAAATATATTTTTAAAAAAACTTTTCTGAACACTGATGGTGCTCAAAGCACTTTCCATCTGAGAAGGTCCACCCTACGTAAAATTGCAACCCACCTTCACCCACTCCCTCTTGCCACACCTTCTCCATCTCTATTGCTTCTATTCATTTCATGATCCCCACTGAACAGGCTATATAATTTATTTTTTGTGTCTTTTGTTTATTCTTTGTCCCTCTCCACTAAAAAGGCGCACCTCGAATACAGGTGTTTGTTTTGTCCACTGATGTACTCCAAATGCTTACATTAGTCCTTGGGTGAAGGAGGCTGTCAAGAGACCAAATCATGGACTTCTAATTCTTGTGGGGGAAACCCTGAGAAGATGGGACAAGAGCAGCCATGTGGGCTGCCAGCAGAGTCCATGAGTGCTGCGGCCTGGACGCAGTGCCAGGGCCCTCCAGGATCGGGGCTGTCAGGGAGGCAGTTTGCCTATTGTAGACATGACCATGTTCCAAAAACTGTGGTGCTTAACAAAAGACCAAGGTCTACTCTAGCCCCTCCCCTCTGAACCCTGACTTAGGCTAAAGCTAACAACTATGAGAGCGAAAATCCCAGGCAGACAGAGGTCCCTGGAGGGTGATGGTTGCTAGGAACAAGTCCCACCAGCTGAGTGGCTTAAATGGCAGATGTATTGTTTCATCATTCTTGAGGCCAGAAGTTTCAGATCAAGGTCCTGGTGTGGCCAGTTCCTTGGGAGGGAGGATCCTGAGAGAGAATCTGCTCCATTTTCTCCCCTAGCCGCTGGGGTTTCCCGCCACCTTCAGCGTTTCTTGGCTTATAGAAGCATGGTCGACCTCAGCCTATATCTTCACATGGTGTCCTCACTGCGTGTGTCTGTGCCCAAATTTTCCCTTTTTGTACGGACACGAGTACTAGTGGATTCAGCCTAATAACTTTATCTTAACTAATCACATCTTCAAGGCCCTATTTTCAAATAAGGTTACACTCCGAGATACTGGAAGTTAGGACTTCTACATAGGACTTGGCCCAGGGACTCAGTTCACCCTCACACAAGCCTAGCATCGGAACTACATTGCATCTCCAAGGTGAACGCTGCCTCGAAGGCTGTTAGCACAGACGAGCTTATGCTGCAGTCACTACCAGTCTCAGTGACCAGTGACTGAAAACAACACGTCCTTCGCCCTAAGTCCCATGAGGGTCTGTGGGTCTCTTCCGGGCAGGTGTTCTCCAGGCCCTGACTCAGGGATCCAACCTGCTGCCCTGCATCTGGTCCCACCACCAGGGACAGGGAAAGGCCCCTCGGCACCAATGCTCAGGTGCTCTCACCGGAGCCAGTCCCCTGGGCCTGCGCACCTGGAGGGACACCTGGGGAAGGGGCACAGGTGGAGTGTTTAGGAGCTCCGGCATCTGCCACGCTGGCTGTTTTGGGGCTGGTGTCAGGGAGTCTTTACCGAAGGCCCTGGAAAATCAATGCTGAGCATGTCTTGAAGGGCCGGGAAGAAGGTATTTGCTTTAGGAAGTAAAGCTGGAGTCACCCATGTCCCTGACGGCTGAAAAGAAAGAACAATAGACCTGGGAAGCAGTCATCAGTTCCGTCTCCGGACAAGGTGAGTGAGGACTGGGGTAAGGTGGAGGCAGCGCTTCAGGGTGAACTCCGGGGCAGGCTCTGACTTTTTCCAGAAGGGGAGGATGCGGAGGAGGAGAAGAAAAAGAAAGAGGAGCACGAAGAGAAGGTGGAGGCCCTGGCCCGATAGGAAGGAACCATCTGCTTCACTGCACCCCTTTCCCTGCTGGGGCGCTGGGTGCAGTGGAGGTTGGGGGGCAGGACAAATCCTCACACCCCTACCACTTCCCTCAGAAGCTCACATGGATCCTGGCATTTTGTAGAGGTTGAGTATGTACTTCCGGTGAATGAATGATTGATGGAATAAATGAATAACAAGAAATGTCCCCCCTTTTTTAAATGCCCCCATTCCTATACCAAATGCCACATTCAGCCAAAAAAAAGGAGCAATCCTAGCCCCGGCGATGGGCCTGCAGGCCTGCAGATAAGCCCTAGACTGCAGCAGTGGACACCCCTGCCCTCTCCTGACTGTGGTTCCAGGGAGGCGACTGGTGCTCACACCCAGCGCCTGGTTACGGGAATGGACTGAAGTCAGGAATGAGGCCCCTGGAAAGATTACAAAATAATCTACAATTTTGGCATCCGCTAACAGCACATACTGTTTTTCTATCCTCAGCTCTATCCTGCAGGCTAATGAGGGGGGAAAAAGGGGATAGCCCAGGGCTATAAGCATGCCAAACTTTGAGTCCATTCACTGGAGGCACTCCCACCCTGTTTGCATACCCACCAACTCCCATCCTTCCCTAGGGGGCAGCTATTTAAGGGGAGCTGGAGTTCAGACTTAACAAGACCAGCACTTGGAGCTATTAACACCAGCATTCTCTGTGAGGTAACACCCCAAAATCCATGCCCTGTCAGGAGTATGGGTCTTGCTCAGTGGCTGCCTTTAAGAGTGGCTGTGTTGGCATATGTGTCCATGTGTATTTATGCATATGTTTGTTGCATACATGGACATATATATGCATGCGCATGATTTGGGGGGGATGTGCACAAGTGTGTTGTATGAGCATGTGAGTGATTGTATGAAAGGAGGTCTGCATTAGCGGGTGAGCTCAGCAGTGGGTATATGCATACATATGTGTGTGACTATACGTGCATTTGCGCATGTGTATATGGCTAAGGGGTTGGAAAGTCTTGCAAAGAGAGGGTTCTGTGCTTTAGTTTTGGAAAAAAATATTGGAGATTGGACTTCATAGATGGAATTCCCAAGCCTTGAATCGGTGAGAACAAGTAAGATATGTCTAATGGGGGTTAGGGGAGAGGTACACGACCTATGACCTTGGGAGTCTCCAAGTTGGTTGGGATGACCTGGTTGCACCCTCCAGCAACTCTCAGTCTGATTGTGAGCGTGGACATCTCCTGAGCGTACGGTGTGGGGGTCTCCTTGGGTCTGAGGCCTGCATGTGTGTGAAAATAGTCAAACAGAGCTGGGAAGGGTCAGGAGGCCCTGTGTGTGCACGCTCCTGTGTGTTTGTGTGTGACAAAGGTAGTCATCCTGGATCCAGGAGCATGTCTGTGTGTTGCCTTGAAGGTTCCTTTCTCCAGGGTTGCTGAGTACGAGCCAAAGAGCAGGGGGCCAGGGCAGAAGCTGGGACCACCTGGGAGAGGAGTCTAGGCCAATCCATCTGCATTTCTCACGCAGGGGACTGTCCACATGAAGACCCTTCTGTTGTTGGCCTTGACCATGGCCTTTGGTAAGAGCGAACCCTGACCTCTGGCCACAAGGGGGCAGCCCAAGATGAAAGCACCCTTAGCCCCAGCTTTCCTTCCAATTTCCACAGGCCCTCTCTCAGTGGGTGGCAGAGAGGCCCTAGCGGGAGGGGGAGTAGCAGAGAGGGGCAGAGGTGGAGGGCATAGGCCCCCCGGCCCCATTCCCAGATGATGTCCTTCCAGGCCTGCTGCAGACCCACGGGAGTTTGCTGGATTTCCAGAAAATGATTGAGTTCAAGACAGGAAAGGGTGCTGTGTCCAGATATGGCTTCTATGGTTGCTACTGTGGCTGGGGCGGCCGAGGATCCCCCAAGGATGCAACGGATCGGTGAGGCCACCCCAGCCCTCCCACCCTCTGCCCACTCATGGCCCCCGCAGAGCTGGGAGCTGCCAGGCAGGGCTGCTGCCCTTCGTCACAGAACCCCAGGAGGTCCCAGCTGGAAAAGCAGCCAGCATGTTGGAAACTCTGCTCTAGACCATTGCAGGGTCATTGGGTCTCTGCCCAGGGGCATGGGGCAAGACCACGGTGGACCAGGCTCCCTGGAGCTGTGGGGAAGCAGCCCCAATCACATCTCCTTGCCGCAGGTGCTGCGCCGCACATGACTGTTGCTACAGACGTCTGCAGAGGCAGAAATGTGGCACCAAGTATCTGAACTACAACTTTGCTTACCGAAATGGCCAAATCGTCTGTGGTAAGGACGTCCTACAACAGTGATGGTGAACCTTTTGATCTCGGCGTGTCAGCATTTTGAAAAACCCTAACTCAACTCTGGTGCCATGTCACATATAGAAATTTTTTGATATTTGCAACCATAGTAAAACAAAGATTTCTATTTTTGATATTTATTTTATATATTTAAATGCCATTTAAAAAAAAAAAAAAAATAAATGCCATTTAACAAAGAAAAATCTACCAAAAAAATGAGTTCGCATGTCACCTCTGACACGAGTGTCATAGGTTCGCCATCACTGTCCTACAATTTCACCCCGTCTCCTTGTTTTCTCTCTCTGCCTCCTGAACAAGTCTGAGATACCCTCTCTTAGAATAATATTATAAGCCATGCTAGATGCTCAGATCTTAGAGCAGCAGCCCAAGGACCAAAGGGTCGGTGGTTTGATTCCTGGCCAAGGGCACATACATTGGTTGTAGGTTCAATCCCTGGCCCCATATCGGGACTAATATGTGAGGCAACCAATTGATGCCCACTGTGCTGGGCACTGTGCTGAGCACCGGAGAGAATTACAAAGGGGCACCTTGGCCCTTTTGGCTCAGTGGTAAGAGCATCGGCCGTGGGTTCAATTCCAGCAGCATGTACCTCTGTTGCAAACTCGACCCCCAACCCCCAGTTGGGTGCATGCAGGAGGCAACCAATCGATGTGTCTCTTTCACATCAATGTTTCTCTCTGTGTGTGTCTCTCTCCCTCCCTTCCACTATCCCTAAAAATCAATGGGAAAATATCCTCAGGTGATGATTAACAACAACAACAACAAAAAAAGGGGAAGAAATACAAGGGGACAGTGTCCCTGCCTCAGGGAGCTCATAGGTGAGTGGTAAGAAAAGATAAGGAAAACACTAGATGGGAAACTCCGATAGGCAGGCAGCCAAAGGGCAGGGCCCTGAGCACAGGCTGCATCCAGGAAGGCTCCTGATATCCAAGCTGAGTCTTTAAGGCTGTGCAGGCACCAGAGGGGAGGAGGGTGCCAGGGGGGAGGAGGGTGCCTGCACAGCCTTAAAGACTCAGCTTGGATGTCAGGAGTCAGCCTTTTCCCATCTTCTGCTCCCCGACCGTGGCCATGGAATGCCAAGACGCCTGGTGTCAGTCCAGCCTCATGGCCTTACCCCATAGAAGAGCCCCCCCAACCCCCGCCCCCACCTTCTCTATTTGGGAGGAAATTAATCCTTCCCACAGCCTCCAGGAGACTTCCCCTGTGGCTCATTGGCCAGAACAAGGTTACATGTTCCCAGAGACCAATCATTGAAAGGAAAAAGGGAGGAGCATGACGGGTTTACACCAATCACAACCCATTCCCAGGCCCTAGGGCAGTGGTTCTCAACCTTGGCTGCACATTAGAATCAACTGGGAATCTTTTTAAAATCCTGATTTCTGGGCCTCATCCTCTGGAAATTTTGTTTCTTTGTTATGGGGTGACTTTGTTACTAATGTTGTGGCCTCACCCCATAACAAAGAAACAGAATTTCCGGAGGATGAGGCCCAGAAATCAGACTTTTAAAAAGATTCCCAGGGGATTCTAATGTGCAGCAAAGGTTGAGAACCACTGCTCTTGGGGCTGGGGCTTTGCACCTGGACACACCTGTTGGGAAGAAGAAAGTGTCTCCCAGTGCTTGGGGGCGGGCGTCCCCATCAGACTGGGCGCTCGCTCCCCGAGGGCAGGAGCTCTGTCTTCCAATCGGAAGGACCTGGAGCCTAGGTGCTTGCCTGGACTAGACGCGCCTGGAGGACAGGACCTGTGTCCTTCCCACAGGAGCCATCAAACATTCCCAAACCCTCAGCCAGGTTTATTTTCTTGTGATTCCAGGGAAGCAGGATCACTGTCGCAGGCAGCTGTGTGAATGTGATAAAACAGCGGCCTCCTGTTTTGCGAGAAACTGGAAAACCTACAAGAAAGAGTACCAATACTACCCCAACTGGAACTGCCGTGGGAGAGACCACCGGTGCTGAGGTCCCGCCCCCGGAAGCCTCGCCTCCCACGCTGAGCTCCCCTCTCTGGCCCCCACCCCTCCCCACCCTGGCTAGTTCCTGGCAAAGAAGGAAACACCCCTCTCCCATCCCAGA